CGCCCGTAATCCTAGCTGAAATCTAAGGATTGTGGTTCAAAGCCAAGCTAGTGCAGGAAAGTCTTCTCTGTGTCTCAAGTGGTAGAGGGCTAACCTTGAGCTGAAGAGCTGAGGGAGGGTGCCCAGGCCCACCCACAGAGTTCAAGCCCCATGACCAAAATGAGACAGAAACAGAGAGGAGGGGAGAGAGAAGAGAAAGGGAGAGGGAGCAGGAGAGATGGACAGTGGGAGGGAGCAGGAGAGAGGGACAGTAGGGGGTGGGGAGGAGAGAGGGGGAGAGGGGAAGGGGGGGAGGAGGAGGGAGAGAGAGGGAGAAAGGGAGAGAGAAAGCGTAGTTTTATCTTGGAAACTGCAGCCGAATAAGGCAGTTTGAGCTTGTGTGCCCTCATTCAATCTAGAATGGGCTGAAGACGCATGCAAAACGCAACGCTGAGAGTTAAGATTATTATCCAGTCCCATAGAGATTGGGATCCTCACAGGCACTAGCAGGAGGTGGAAATAGCAGGGCTCCGTCCATCGGATGAATCTGCAGTTTTAGTCTACAAAGGCTAGTTGCAAATACCGAATGGTAGGTGTACAGGTGCCAAGACATCCCTGAACACGCCAGAATACGCAGCACCTGAATGCAGCACTGTCTTGAGCATAATAAGGGACCTGGGAAAGCAGCAGAATGAGCACCGGGCCAAGGCTGTTATAGGTTCCCTCCCAGTGGGAGCGCCAGGGCCAGGCGACCCGAATAACACAACGCTCACCAGCTGGCGGGAAGGCGGCACCCCACCCCCATCCCACCCCAACGCCTCTCACCTCCACACTCTGTTCGTCCATTGCCTCCGGCTCTCGGCGGGGCCCGTAACGACCCGCGGAGTCCGTGGTCGGCCCTATTAAGTGACGGCCCGAGGTCGCCAGGTCAACTCGTCCGGGAACAGCCAGGAGCCCACCTCAGGGGGCTCCAACAACGGCCCCACCTGCGCGCCCCATCGCTTCAAGTTCGAGGCCGGCTACCCCCATTTCGCCATTTTTAAGCGCGCGCCGGTCTTGGGGCGCACGGACCAGGCGAGCAGTGTACCAGTGCCCCTTCCTCCCGCCTCAGCCACCGGCGGGAGTCGACTGGGGAGCTTCGGCCCACGTGACGCGGACGCGCGCCGGCCGAACCGCCGCGGGAGTCCTGAGGCGCAGGTCGCGGCAAAAGGCGCCGCGAAGGACTCGCAAACACCAACCGTAACCAGGGCAGCCGACCGGGAAGGCGCGGTGCGCATGCGCGCCAGGCGCTGCGGGCGGGGCTGCGACGAGAGAGGCGGACGCCTAGATCCCGCGGTCCCGTGGGGAGGGTGAGAGGTCCTCGCACACGAGACTTGAAGTCGTTGCCGCAGGATGGGGGCGCACACGAGACTTGGTGAGTCGTTGCCGCAGGATGGCGTGCCCTGGGCGGGCGGCTGGCGTCCGCAGCGAGAGCCTGGCGCTTCGCCCACTCTCAGCGCGGAGGGGCGGGGCCCCCTCAGCCCTCAAATTTTAGCGCGCCACGGTCTGGAGCCACCTAGCGTGCGGTGGGGAAACGTGGGCCCGGAAGCCACACCCCTCGGCCGTCCGACTCGACTCCGAGATAGTGGGACGGAGCCTGTGCTCCTCGTGGAGATAAAAACCTGGAATCGGAGACTTGGGGCTGGTTGTTCTTTTAGGGGGACGCCCAGATTTTAAGGTTCTTCAGACTTCCGCTCTGTCTACCGAAATAAATGAAGTTCCAAAGCTCTAGGCTAAGCCAGGCCCCAGCAACCCTAGTTAACTCAGGAGGCTGAGATCTGGGGATCACGGTTCAACGCCAGCCAGGGCAAGAAATTCTGAGACCGTTAGTCCCAATGAACTATTAGCTCCAATGAGCTATCAAAAAACAGGAAATGAAGCTGTGGCTCTAAGAGCACTAGCCAGAAGCTCAGGGACAGGGCCCAGGCCCTGGCGAGAGAAAGAACGGAAAGCATCTAGGGTTGTAAGAAAAAAAAAAAAGGAAATCCTATTTTTCCTTTCTGACAGCTATTTACACTTGTCCTAACCTAGATTGTGCTTGTAGGGAATGTCAAAAAAAATTAATATCGAGAATTTTACCTCACCTTGTTAAGAGTTCACAAGTACAAGTTCCTTACACTCAACAATATAGCACAAAAACTATTTAGATCAAAATATTCTTATATATTTGCCCAAGAGTCCAAAAAAAATGTAGAAAATATTGCACTAGCTCATGGCTAGAAGACCTATACAACTAGGGGCTTTATTGTTGTAAGCCCACTCAGATTTTAATTTAGGCAAAAAAATTTTTTAATTAAGAAAGCTAGAGGTTAATGACTAATTCAGAGAATTCTAAGTTTTATTGAGCGAACATAAAGGGATGGAAATTAGTTGTATAAGTTTCAATTCCAACTAACAAGAGTGGATATTGAGGGTATAGAATCAAGCCAGGAGCTGATGGCTATTGCCAGCAGTAGAATTCTCATGCCAGGAGGCAGAGATCTGAGGATTGTGATTTAAAACCAACCCTGGCAGGAAAGTATGAGACTCTTATCTCCCATCAGCGGAAAAGGAGCTATGGCTCAAGTGGTAGAGCCTTGAGCAAAGAAGCTCAGGGACTGCACCCTGAGTTCAAGACTCAGGACAAGCACTAAACCAAAAAACAAACAAAAAACCAGAATCAACAGTTGCTGGTGGCTCACACTTTCAATCCTGAGACTCTTATCTCTAACCAGCAAAAAAACAAAAGTGGAGGTGTGGCTCAAGTAGTAGAACACCAGTATATAAGGCCCCGAGTTCAAGGCCCAGAATCAGTTTTTTAAAAAATGGAATCTTCTGGACAGTATTCAGGTACTTGGGTTTTGTTGGAAATACTGTGTTAGAGCTAGCAGAAGTTATATTAGGAGTTAACCACAAAGAGAAACAATTTTAATTAGACAAGGAAGAATCCACACTTTTTGTTTAGAATATACTTTATTTAAAAATATTAAAAGATTTCTAAGAAACATGGACATTGAGGAGAAACCAATCCCAGAGAATAGTGATTGCAAAGAACTGATTACTGTAATGATTAGAAACCAATATTCCAGACACAAGGAATGTGCATCTTCCCAAATGTAAAGACAGTGAGAGCAATCATTGCATAATGCAGCAGATGCTCTCTTCTAATTGGTTTGGGACATTTTGGTTTTTGTTTTTACCAAGGATCGATCTATTTTAGTTTAGCACAGTTAGGGTAAGGAGAAAGAAACTTCCTGCTCCCCATGCAGGAAGCAGGAGTTCAAAATGCTCTACCAGTCCTGGGGCTTGAACTCTGGGCCTATCCACTGTCCCTGAGATCCTTTTGCTCAAGACTAGCACTCTACTACTTGAACCAGTGATTACTGCAGTTAAGAGTCTCACGGACTTTCCTTCCCCAGGCTGGCTTCAAACTCTGATCCTCATATCTCAGACTCCAGAATAGCTAGGATTGCCAGGCTTAAGACGTTCTGCTTTTGACAGCATCATTGCACTAAAAACTAGGTATTCACCATAACAATCTGGCCTGTGTAAATTCAATCAATAAAGGAGAATTAAGGCATCAGAATATTTGCAAGCATATGACAGATTTAACACAGTATCAGCTGCCTAACATACATTAAAATTTGTAGGAAAATCCCATGTAAGGAGAGATATTTCATGGGGAACTGGTAGAGAAATGTGTAGAATACAAGACCTGTAAGAACATTAAAGTGATGTATGTGGTTTGGGTGATTTGACAGCCAGGAGCTAGTGGCTCCTGCCTATAATCCTAGCTACTCCAGGAGGCTGAGATCTGAGGGTTCCAATTCCAAACCAGCCTGGGCAGTAATGTCTTGAGACTCTTAAAACTCAAAAACAAAGCAACAAAAAGCTAGAAGCAGAGATGTGGTTCAAGTAGTAGAGTGCCAGCATTGAGCAGCTAGCTCAGGGACCTCTCCCATTTCCTGAGTTCCAGCCCCAGGTCTGGCATACAAAAAACTAAGGACTTCTTCAACTTTGACTTCCAACTCTCACGCAAGTTCGACTAGTGACAAATTGTAACATAACTGTAAGAGAAATGGATTCTGGAAAATGTAGTTCCCCACATTATCAGAGACATCACAATCCGATTCCAATTCAATTTTTCCTAACATAGATCTCTCTTCATCAATGTGAACTATACAAAGGCACAAAGGCCAAATGATGAAATTAATTCACATTGACAACTAAATACAGAGGCTGAAGTTCTATCACTCAGAAGACAGAGGCAGGAGGGTGGGAGTCCATGGGAAGAGCCAACATTTAGAAGAAAGCTGAAAAAAATCAGAGAAAAATAAGGTAATCTAGTTTTTTCCCTGACCACTTTATACTATCTTTTTATTTCTACCAATCAACAAAAAAATGCCCAGAGCCATTGCATTACTAGGACTTTCTTAAATATTGCCTGAGTACAAAGTATCTCAAATTTTAAGGTATATATTACTCTAATAGAGTTTAGTGATATTCTGTTCTGGAAGTATATGTCCTTTTTTTTTGTTTTGGGTCCAGTCGTGGGGCCTGAATTCTGGGCCTGGGCACTGTCCCTCAGCTCTTCAGCTCAAGGCTAGTGCTCTACCACTTGAGCCACAGTGCCACTTCCAGCTTTTTT